CCAACGTGATTATTCACATTACGCGGACAAAGTGGCAGGAATCTGCTAGTAGTAGTATACATTAACAGTACGTATATAATATGTTGCAAAAAAGTGTTATATGTACAATGATAATTATTTACGATAAATTATGCAGTTTAACATTTTAATTAACATAACACATTAAAAATAGAAAAAAATGAGAAACACAATAAAATTAAATGGACCGCGATAAAACGAGAAAATTAATGCCATGTATCGAACTTTTTTCTGTACTTTACTAATAGTATATAGAGTTCTTTCTCATGTCTCCTGACTATAAGCTCGCCCGTACCAACTTAACAACACAAAGTTACCAACCCAGTATTCTAGGCAAGTCACCTGACTCATTATTAGTAGTATTTTATTAAATATTGGAAGCTAATAATAAAAGGTTCTTTTAAAGAGAGTAGGCAAGGTTGAGTGATTTTACGTTAGTTTGAAGTAGTATTAAAGACTTAACAGGATGAAGAGGGGCTAGAAGAAGAGAAAGACGAACATTTGTGGGTTGAGAACTTATAATTAGAGAAGTAAATCGCTAACATAGAGTAGCGGGCCAAACGAAACGTGCCACCCGTTAGATGGTTCATGCTGGATAACGTTCTAGCCCTATGGATTGACATTCCATGACCAAGTCTAGAACACACATCAAAAAATTCTTATAATATTGGATAGAAAAAAAAACTAAGGAATTATATAATTGGAAAGGAGCAATGAGTAAGATTTTGAAGCTGGAAGAAGGGAGAGTCGGAGTTTGGAGATTGAAAAGAAGAAAAGTAGTTTGGCAGATGGAGAGTGAAGTAAAGTTTTGGAGCTCGAAGAGCAACAGTAGACTTTTGGAGGATCAATTATCATGAGTAGAGTTTTCGGAGATTGGCATTGCTGATCAAGTCAAGAGGGAAGATAAAATGCAGTTAACATCGTGGAGGTATTGGAGACGGAAAGAAGTTTCCTAGACCTAAAAAGAGGTTCCAGTCCATCCCGAAACAAGTCGAGACCAGATTACGACACCTAAGTATCCTCTACTGCTCCTGTAAGTCGTATTGAGTCTGATTTTTATGGGGTTTATTTTGGTAGTTTGATAAATTTTAAAGTAATGGAATGAAACATAGTTAATCTTCTCCTCTTACATTACTCTCGTGATTTGGTTAAGTTATTAAGTTCAGTTCAAAATATTACAGTTAAGATGAAGAAACATTCCAGAACTTTAGTTAAAGTTATTTGATTGTAAAACATTTGTCATTGATTTCAATCGAATTTTCATCTACGAAAAAAATGCTAATAAATTGTTATCTATAATGAAAAGTCAAATGAATTTATGATTATTTTATAACTGCACATAAAATGCAAAAAAAGGTTGTAAGACTTTACTCATTCTTTAATTCGTTAACAATAAGTAGTAATTTAATTGTCTGTTGTAAATTATTTTTCGATAATTGAAGTTATTGAGTTTTTTCAGATGAATTGGCTTGGCCCAATTTTTAATCTATATTTTGGAGTCAACCATAACCAATTCTATCCATATACACGTAGAAAAATAGACTCTTAAACATGCATGTGGCTTGACATTTTATTCTCAATAACTTATATTAGATGTAAAGAAATTCGATGCGACTTGTCGGGTAATATACCTCCCTTGTTAGCCGACAATTACACTCTCGTAAATTATTCGGTACATCTCTGTTATTTTTCTCTTATCAGTTTCAGTAATTTATAATGTTTTCAACAACAATTGTTTAGGTTAAGTTTAAAGTTTCTCTTCATGTATAGCGTTTTTTCGGGCGTTGCCACATGATATTAATTCGAGGAAATTTTTCCGCCGGTTACTTATGGGAGGATAAGAAAAGTCCTTCGTGAGCTAAAAAAAACAGGCATTATTGCCTTAGAGTGAGAAACCGAGTTTTTCTTAAGACATTATCGTCAGCCTCGATTGAGATTTAATCTAGATTATTAAGATGATTCAATTGTAACGTTTTCACCCGTTTTTACGTCTACAAAGCTAAATCTAAATGGTTTTAGCCGTTTCTGAGATTACCCCAGATAGACATGTTGATAAAATTCCAAAAAAGGTTGTGGGAATACTTTGTGTTCGACGACGAACTTTCCATTTATTCCCTAATCACTGTAAGTATTTTCATAATGGAAAGATAGTAGAGGGCATTTTTGATACGAATCATCCTGCACAAAACTTGTAAAGTCCGATCTTGAAAATAATTGTAAAAAAATTTTTTCAAAAAATATTACGACATTTTTTTGAATATTACTTGTAAAGAACATTGACTATTTGTGCGGGACTAAAGACCATATTAGATGTTTTACTCGAACTGACATAAATTTTTCTATTTTTTACGTAAATGATAAGTTTTTCGTGCAGAATATAATTTTTTTTAAATAATGACTTATTACAGAGTTACAAATTAATTATATTCCACATCAGTAAACTAGGTAATTTACTGATGTGGAATATAATTAATTTGTAACTCTGTAATAAGTCATTATTTAAAAAAAAAAAATTATATTCTGCAAACTAGGTAATTTGGGGAAGGACCGCTATGACCAAGCAAAGGCCTACAGGCCCATAAGTCTAACCTCCTTCGTCCTAAAAACGCTGGAGCGGCTTGTGGACTGTTACCTTAAAGAGAGCGCATTGTGCACCAGGCCCTTGTGCTCAGCACAACACGCCTACCAAAGTGGCAAGTCTGTAGAGACTGCCCTCCATGACCTCGTAGGAGGCCTGGAGAGAGCCCTGGAGACAGGCAGGTCGGCAATTGGGGTCTTTTTAGACATCGAAGGGGCGTTTGATAACACACCCTTCAAAACTATGGGTGAGGCAGTTCAGAACTTCGGAGCAGACGTCACGCTTGCACGATGGATCATGAACTTGCTCGCCAGTAGAACGGCCATCGCCTACTTAGGAGGTACAGAGGTTCGAGCTGCAGTGGCCAGGGGCTGCCCGCAGGGAGGTGTTCTATCTCCCCTGCTGTGGACCCTGGTGGTGGACGAACTTCTTACGAACCTGAAAAAGGCGGGCTTCAGCGTTCAAGGCTACGCTGATGACGTGGCCATCACGGTCACAGGCGACGATTTGGGTAGTCTGTCGCTCAGAATGCAGACGGCCCTCAACGTCGTTGAGAGATGGTGCCAGGTTCGAGGGCTCAGGGTTAACCCGAGCAAAACTGAACTGGTTCTGTTCACAAGAGGAAGGAGGACTGAGTTCAGGCCTCCCTCCATCTTTGGCAAACAGCTGAAATGTTCGGAAACAGTGTGCTACCTTGGAGTAACCTTAGATAGGAAGCTCCACTGGAGGGCACATGTGGACAAACAGGTCAAGAAGGCCACGGCTACCTTCTGGACCTGCAGAAGAATGTTCAGCGCTACATGGGGACTGAAGCCGAAAACAATAAAATGGCTGTACACAGCTGTTGTCATTCCCCAACTAACCTACGCCTCCATAGTATGGTGGACCTCCGTCAGGAGGAACGCCTGCAGGAAGCAACTAAATAAAGTCTATAGAGCGGCACTGCTAGGTATAACGGGAGCCCTGAGGACGACCCCAACCCTAGCTATGGGCTGCCTACTGAGCATCCCTCCGCCGGAACTGATGGTGGAGGTGCTAGCGAAGAGGGCGGCCATCCGCTTGAGGAGCCATAGACAGTGGACGAGCTTTCGAGCTGGGCATGCGGCGATTCTGGGCCCGGAGGACCCTACGGGACTCAGTGGCAAAAAGGTCGATCGCTGCCCCAGGAAGCTAGAATTCTCACCCGGATACGAAGTCATCTTCATGGACAGACGGACCTGGCTGGAGGAAGGCGAGGAATCGCTTACTCCCAAGGGGCCTGTCTGGTACGTGGATGGGGCGAAGTGTAAGGGGGGAGAGGCCGGAGCCGGAATCTGGTGCGGGGGACCACGGGTGGAGGAATCCTACACCCTGGGCCAGGACGCTTCCGTGTTCCAGGCAGAGGTGTACGCAATCCTGTTATGCGCTATGCATATAACCAAAAGAGATTGCACTGGGCAGCATATCTATATCTGCAGTGACAGCTATGCTGCCTTAACGGCTCTTTCGCAAGTGGCTACCTGTTCAAAACTCGTGGACCACTGCAGAAGGGTACTAAAACAAGCGGCATGCCGCAACAAACTGAAGCTGCTAAAGGTACCAAGTCACTGCGGTATACGCGGCAACACCGAAGCTGACAGGCTGGCCCGTATTGGCGCCAGCGGCGGAGGTGACAGGGGCCCAGTGGAGATAAACGCTCCCGGGGAACTTGTAAAGGCGCTGGGGGACAAGTGGCTGCACAAAAGATTCACCAGCTACTGGGCGGAGACCTCGGGGATGAGGCACACCAGAGCGTTCATCAGGAAACCCACAACTCAAGTGAGTAGGGACCTGATCGAACTGGATAAAAGAAGGCTAAGAGTGGCCGTGGGCACCGTCACAGGGCACTGGCTAACTCGACGCCATATGAAGATGCTGGGACGCGGAGAGGAATCCGCGTGCCGGTGGTGTGGTGAGGAGGAAGAGACGCCTCTCCACATGATAAGGGAATGCTCGGGGCTAAGGGAACCCAGGCAGCGCCTGTTAGGGAACCTTGAGACCGACGCACCCATCCTTGAGACGGTCGGGACGGACAGGCTTCTGCAATTTTGCTACGAGGCCGGGCTGTACCAACCCACCTAAGACCGCCTTTACCACAAGCTTGGACCCAGTACAATGGCCCCGTGGCTAAGTGCAGGGGAGGCGGGGCAGATTAATGGGGAAAACTAGGTAATTTTTTATGTTTTTAAAAATGTTTTTTTTTTTAAATATTATAAAGAAAAAACAAAAGCTAGTAAATTATTGTTATATTTTCAAATCATTATTCTTGTATTGCGCCTATCAATAATAATTGCAATAAAAGAAATTACAAATTTTATTTTGAATTAAAAATAGACGGTCTCAAAATAAAGAACTTGATGAATGTATATAATAAAAACTTACTAACCTTCGGCGATCAATCGTTCCCGTATTTCCCATGCAAAAATTGTTGGATTCTCTCGTTTATATTGCTCAATTTTGGCTACAACCGTGGGAGTAGCAACTTTTGGTTTACTTCCTCCAATCAAACCGGGTGGCCTTAACGTTCCTATAATTAAATAATACTCATGATCAATAACATACAATATGAGGGAAAACCAATAAAGAAACTATTATCCAACATTATATAGTGGTTGTATTTCTACAGTTATAATGGTTCTCGGTATCCAATGATTACATGGAGTAGTGCATATTTGAATTAACTTTTAGGGAAAAAGAACTAAATTGTCGTTTGGATGGCTTGTAATTTAATTACAAAACGATAAGGATTCCTGCATAGAGGAAAAAGTAGATATGTTTTGCAAAAGTGTGGCTTCAAAGCTGCGTACATTGGGAATCATGGTGCAAGTTATATGTGTTAAACATTCATTTTTAACACCTTCTTTTCTCTATCTGCTCTTACTCTCCTCTGCTTTAGATGTTTGCGAAATAATAAATACACGTACTTTCTCTGCACAAGTTTAACTTGTTATGGACCATGCTATTTAAATATTGTAATGTCTATGTATATTTCCTAGAAAATTCTTTAATGTATTTTAGGTAAAAAGGTGTTAAAGACTTCAAAAATCAGTTGAGGATAAATATTTAAATAAATTTTATTGCTTTTAAAAAAGTCACGTGGCAAAAAGCAATAAAATTTATAAAAAGAATGTTTGTGTGCCGTGTGAATATTTTTAGATATTTCTAAAATAGATAGGCTATCTGAACAGAATTATATCCCATTTGACTTGATAAAAACGAAAGGATCGATCCATCGGTCAATTGTCGACAAAGTAAGATTAAGATCAGATTGTAGGAGAACATCTTTTGTAAACAATCTTTTCGTTTTTCATGAGTATTGAATTAATAATATTCTAAAGTTAGTTCATTTTTGTATAAATTTGATCGTCAAATAAGATTCGATAAATATTTGAATTAATTGATTGATGAACGTAAAAAACAGCGCTGACTGGAAAATCTATTCTTCTTTATAAATTTCTGGTGTCTGTCTGTCTGTCCACAGTACTCTCGGTAGAGGGTGTTATTAGAAAGGATATAGGCTACTTTTTAATCATGTAAATTGTTTATATCGATTGAATTTATTATAAAAAGTTGAAAACAGGTTCTATGCAACATATTTTGGTTCTTCTAACGCGTATTTCGTTCGTTTGCCAAAAAAATGTGACCAACTATGTTACTCCTTCTGTTTATAGCAATTTAATTGGTGATAAACAACAGAAAACGAGGTCTATTTGATAAAACAAAAAAAACTAACTAAAAATACTTATACATTCATATTTACGTGTAACGCATTTTCATCAACACGCTTATGTCCAACGCACATATTCGTGCAGCAGGCGATGGCCATTGTGCACGCATGTGAATTAAGTGCCTGAACGAACATTTATGTAGTTTTAGAAGAATAATGGATGGATCCTCTGATAACAAAGGGGTTTTCAACATGAAAATAGGTCACTCCATCAAAATAAAACCTAATGTCTTTACAGAATTTTTATGTGTTCAATATTTTGGGAGTAAATTAAGGTTATAAATACCAAATGGCGAGGTTATTCGCCCACTGCTAGAGCGAGGCAGACTGGGGTCTTCAGGCCGGTAGAGTAGGGTTTTTGGAGCGCGCGGCTAATGGATACCTTTTCGTCTTCATGCTCTCCTAATACTCCGCGTAAATTTTGGATTATAAATTTTCCCATAAATAACAGTTAACGGACATATGTGTATGTGTACACATACACGACCACAAACTGATACGCACAGCATAAGTCAAAAGTTTAAACAATGGTGATATGGGGCATTCGTTGACCGGACGTTTCGAAGACTAAATTCTAAATGATAAGCTATAATAATATTTAGTTACAAAATATTAATTTTGTCATAAATTGTCAAAAACGCAAGGAACTGCGTTATTTTTGTTATTAAAATATAACCTCTCTGTCTACAACATAAAATAATGTAGATGGCCGCGGCTGCACACCTTCAGATGGAGGACAACCCGTGAAAATGAATGAAAAACTTTAAAAACATACACATTAAACAAAAACCATATGATACTTTGGAAAATAACAAATGTACAGGCAGACAGACAATTTCAGTGATAAGGGCTAAAGAACTCGACGTTATCAAGTCCACCTGGAAACTCCTGACGTTGCTCTTATATTTCCATGGTTACAGCAATGTTGGAAGTCGAGCTCCGGAGCCGCCATCATCACTCACGTGATCTTTCTCCTTCGTCTCTTACAAAATCTCGGAAAGTGAACCTTGCAATGCTATCGCGGTCAGGGCAAGTTACCTCAATCCCCGACCGTGTAGGTGCCAATTCATCCAACAAAAATTAATTAATCACAAATCCTACTTGTGGACGCCACTCGTTTTTAGGCCCCAAAACGAGATACCTGGAAAAAGCTGGTTAGCTTTATTACTCAAAAATCGCGAAAAAAATTCCGTGGACACAAATAAGCTTCACAAGAAGCAAATAAATTTAACAAAAGATTTTATTTATGAGAAGAAAAATAAATTTTTATTGAAACCAATGAATTATTTCAATGAATCAGTTGTTTACTAATTGCTAAAAACGAATTAAATTATTAACATATGAATATTAATTTCATCGATAATTATTGATAATAACGAATAGAGTAAATTAATCAATAATCAAATATTACTCGTGAGAACGTTCTCGACGCATCTAAAGTTTTAAAACAAAGAACCTCCTCAGCGAGGATAAAGGACAAGTCCTCAATAACGCGTACTGGTACCAGGTTAAAAGTACGTTAAATAGACGTTTACTCACTTTCTTACACCCATACCATACACACCGGAAAATAGATTAAGGAACGACAGAAGAATTGTGTAAAGATGACGTTGCTTACGAAAGCTCCTCCAGGTATCGTGACGCCTTCGATTCAACGGGGCTTGTAAGTACGACGAGACACCCAAAACAAACCGAAGCTTCAGATCCTTCACTGCTAGCCACGCCAGCCAAGAAATTGTTCATTCACTGCCTCGCAACGTCGAGGTCTTACAATGCTTAGTGACGGGCTATGACGAGCCATCTAGCAGTTCACTACGGTGGTATGACTCTCGGCCGATCTACTGTAAGCAACCGCAGTGCTACCACGCTCGAAAGTAAAAGTGGAGGGGCTGACTGAGTACTGTTTCAAGCCTTGAGTCTTGCCCAAACAAGGCCTACGCACGGGGGGCCTGTTGCTCCAGCCCGCTACCTGAAAAAATAAAACCACAGGAAGCTGCGCATGAACTTGTTTTTACATTTACGGCTACTACGCGCAGAGTATGTATGCTCCAACACCCTTTCAGCTACAGGCGTGGCAGTTGAGCCGTGAATTGTCCAAGTGAGAGCAAAACAGCACAGCATCTAATAAAGACATAAAAAGAGATAGATACATGTTTGATGCTATGAACCACGTGTATCACACGGCGATGTTTATCACCGTCAGAGAAGAGAGACTAGCATAGAAGTCCAATCTTGGGTTAAAAGTCCGGACGAAGTTTCGGATAACATGTCGGTAAACCCTGGAACTTATGTTATCTGACCGGTAGTTGTCGCTTCGGAAAATCGACCGTAGACATGCCCCTAAATTTTACAACGCATGCGTAAAAAAGGGAGTAGAATGAAATTTAAACTAAAATTCCTAACTTCTATTTTTTGTTCTTAAAATAAATTATGATAATTATATTAAAAATATTACATAGAACTTATTTTTAATTGCACATTTATTCAGTACCGGACATAAATGCTGTTTAATTTTTTAAAGGTTATACATGTGATTTCCCTATACCGTTTTATAGAAAATCACACAGCATTTATATCCGGTACTGTATATTTTTAATTGATATCATAATAACATTATAAATGTTATTATGAATATTAAAAAGTATTATGGCTAACTGTTGTTAGCCCAGTTCCCTATGCTTGTTATCCCGATTAGGTGTTAGCCGAGTTTAAATTGCAGCGTTAGAAGTGATAAAATAAATAGTAATGTGTCACATACAAAATTGAGTTATTTTCTTTTATAATAAAAATTTATGCATTATTTTTCCTAACAAGTGTTTACGGCGGTAGTGGTAAAAAAGGATAATCCGTCATAAACTTGTGGCATCCCAATGCCTGCCGAAGATGGTTCAACTCAACTTAAAGGTACCCAAACCCACACGCAAAGAAAAGTGATTATTAATTTCTTTCTTCTGACTCAAGTTTCTATTATACTTGATCATATTTTCTGTACGTTGTGAACATTAAGAAAATATGTCTTCACATCTATGCGGTTATGATTTATTTCAATGTGATGAATGACAAATAAATCGCAATTCAATTTTTAGAATTTGTACCTTTAATTACATTTTATTAGTTGATTTGTAATTATAGTTTACACTTTGAATGGTTATTTCCAGAAGAATTATAATTCTTATTGCTGTAGAACACTACCTGAAACAGTGGTTTATGGTAATTCAAATTGTATTGATGATTAGATTCGATGATAGTAATTATGAAAAGTGTAAGTATAAATTAATTATTTATTCCATAATTTTCGCTTCTTTTTTTCATTTACTTATTTTCTTAGCATCTTTCGTTTGGGTATTGAATATAATTCTTAAAAAGGTGGCAACAAATCATATTTATTTTTTATTTTTTGATGATAACTTTTATCTTACAGGTCACAAATTGAAAATGATTTCTAAGATATTGGAACTTGGGATTACTGAATAGATGGGGAGAAGTCATTTGTATAGATACAGTAAAGTTTTGCAGAATGAGAATGTTGATAATAATGCAATTCAACCACTTCTCACTTGTCTTATACTTATTTATGTTTTGCACCAATTAAATATCTGTATGGCTGCCCCTCTTAACGCATGACGCATACGTCTTTATGCCAGTGTTTAAACTCACAAAAATTTTTTAAATCAATTTAAAAAGTTGAACAATTCATCAACTCAACTGCTGCTATTTCGAGCAATTTTAAGAAAATTCCTAATTATTCGCCTCTGCGATTATACAATTAATTAAGCATAATTTATTAGTGAATAACCACT